GAAACGGATAATAGGGCGAAAAACATGGACCCCTGGAAACAATATGTTAACATATGCCTAGTAGGAATATACACATACCCGGTCGACAGGTCAATCGCCATGAGCTCTCTGTATTGATCATATAAAGGGAGTAGGCCTAATCAAAAATAAAATAAGTAACCAGATGCTGTCATAAGGTAGTAATACACGGACTAGGTATTTGTCTCTAAATACAGTCTCCTTCATATTTGAGTAACCAGGGTAGAAGCCACAATAAGTCTATAATTTACACCATAATTTCCAATTTATTCAAAATCTTATGCATGAGAAGAAGAAAACACCTGCTGTGGCCTTCAACTCGACATTTAGACATATCGACAACATATTATCAATTAACAATAGAAATTTCCATTCATATATATATATCCCAGTGAGTGAGCTTGAAATAAAAAATACCACAGAGTTTGACACATCTGTTTCATATTTGGATATCGAATCCCACTTTGGGACGTGGAGACCGATCCTTCGGATGAGACCGTATAATTTGAGGTCGCAATAGGTGCTGGCACAAAAAAGATCTCACTGCTCAATGGCCCTAAGTGCCGAGTATAGGTCAAAATTTGCAGCTCTCCACCGGCAAGTGGTGGCGTCTCCATATGAGTGAAAAATTCACTAGAGGGACATTAAACAATACACAAACAACCAAACATATTCGGATATTTTACTAGAAAAAGATGTTAACGGTAACCTACCAACTAAGCTTTATGATATACGTGATGACTTTATCTTTTCAATCGTCAACTTCCCTTACTTATTCAGCAATATACAATTATCACCTGCATACGGGGTTTATATCTTTCAGTTGATTCGATACGCAAGAGCATGCTCTGCGTATGAACTATTTCTAAAACGAGGGAAGTTATTGACAAACAAGCTGATGAAACAAGAATATCAACAGTCTCGTTTCATGTCATCATTTTGTCCACAGGCATCGCCCACAAAGATTTTGAGATATGTGATTTTTCAAAGAATTGTACACAACATATCCAAAAATTAAAGTGGGCGACAGCTGTGGACACTATTTTCTTAATGAAAAAACCCCCTTGAAATTGGTCATTTTGAGGCTTTTTCTGTTTAAAATAGAGAAATGCATCAAATTAATGACGTCACATTTCCAGAATGGTACTCCTTCATGCCATATTCTTTCCTGATTTATCACAGTCATATACTCAACTAACATTTAAGCCAGTTTCAAAACTTTTTGAAAACATTAAATTTTTAGGGCACAATAAAGCTAAAACCGTACCTTCTTCTTTGGAGCAGAGCAAACACGGACCTCAAAATATAGAGGTGAGATCAGATGCCAAAGAGGAGAGAGTATCCCCTGCCGACCGGTCACACCCGCCGTGTGCTCCTTGTCATAATCGGGAAACAAAAACCGGAAAAATCCGTAGACAGTTCAGTGTATAAATAATGGCCTAACAATTTGTATGAAAAACGTCAGTCAGCATTTGACTCAATGATAGGTTGTATGTGCTGACAAGGTCATTGTATCGACCGAAAAACTTGCGAAAACATGACTTCAAACGAGACTGTTGATATCCTTGTTTCGTCAACTTGTTTGTCAATAGCTTGGCCCGTTTTAGAAATTCTTCATACGTAGTGCATACTCTTGCGTATCGACTCAACTGAGAGACATAAACCCCATATGCAGGTGATAAGGGTATATTGCTACATAAGTAAGGGAAGTTGACGATTGAAAAGTTGAAGTCATCACTTTTATCATAAAGCTTTGTTTTTAGGTTACCATTAACGTCTTTTTCTAGTAAAATATCCAAATAAGAAACAGATGTGTCAGACTCTGTGGTATCTTTTATTACAAGCTCACTGGGATATATCGTGTCCACATCTGAATGGAAATAACGCAAGTTTTATGGTCGATACACTGACCTTGTCAGCAAATACAATCTATCATTAGTCAAATGCTGACTGACGATTTTCATACTAATTGTTAGACCATTATTTATACACTGAATTGTCTACGAATATTTTCATTATTTCTTGATCATGACAAGAAGCACACGACGGGTGTGACCGGTCGGCAGGGGATGCTCACTCCTTCATGACACCTGATCCCATCTCTGATGTTTTAGAGGTCCGTGTTTGCTCTGCTCCATATTTGTATTGTTTAAATGGACTTTTGAGCTTGAATACTATTTGTTATCTCAAACTTAACTACCTGTATCAAACCACCTTCTCCAACTTTTTTTTTCTATTAATCTTACCCGAGAATCATGCAAACAACAAAAAGAATCTTTATTCGTGTTGATTTCTCCGCAATAGATAGCAAAGTCTTTTTTATTTAAATATTTTGGATTTCCAACTTCGGCATGGGCATCACTGAAGAAACATAATTTGTCGAAATGCGCATCTGGTGCATAAAATTGGTACTGTATATGATTTTCTTGTATAATTGTATAAAGAATAATCTTTTGAATAATCTTTTATGACTTTGCGCCTTCCTGAAGGGTTTCTACAGAATATAACATGCGCGTAAGTAAACTTCCGAATGATGTGATGTGTACAAACAGACTCAATATGGGATGAGAAGTAAAACATGCCAAGTAAACAAACCCTTTAACGCTAAAAACAACAAAATGAAAGTCTTCTTCTCGATTATACTTAAATCCTAAGGTGAACCATTTATAATCTCTGAATTAGATGATCGCCCTTAATAATTGTAAAGGCTTACATATGAATCATACTCGTATTTTGCAATCACAAGATAAAATATAAGTACTTAAGAAACACGTTAAGTGTCCACTTGAGCAATTTACGAACCTTCTCTGTCGACTGAACCTGTAAAACAGAATGTTTCATAATAACTGTTAGGCCATTGTTTTAACATTAATTTTGATGACGGATTACACTGTTTACGATTTATCAATACAGAGGGTTCATTGTGGTTCTAACCGGGAACATTACTACTCCTAGTCAACTGATCCCATTTCAAATGTTTACAGGGGTCCGTGTTTTAGTATTGTTTGCAGATTTAATGAGATTGATCACTGATCAAGTTCACTTTCTTTAAGTTTTACTCTCTTGGTCTTATTTATTCTTTTTTCTACACAAAATGATTAGCATACCTCAATGATAGATCGCACATTGACACATCCGTTTTAAGACTGAGAATTGACTGAATGAACTGGCTAAAATGTACCAAACATGTCATTGATTATATTCAGTTTTATAGAAGTTTTACATTACATCATGTGTAAATATTAGTTTTATTAGACTACACGTCTTTTTTCATATTCTTAAATATTTATTTGTTTCTGTGCATAATTTTGCTGTATGTATAAATGTTTTCAGGACCACAATGTAAACTAGTTTTGTAAACTAATTGTGTTATCCTGTATAAATAAATCCTGTATAAATTATTATTATTATTTATTAATAATTGTATATGATCAAGATATAATTTGTTATAGCCGGTTAAAATTTGAAAAGAGCTAGCAGAAAAGAGGAAGGGCACCTCCTATGTTGTCAACTTCATAGTCGAGATACATGTAAATCAGGTTTTCTGAATCAAGTCAAATAAGATCAAATAAGTGATTTCTATATTACTCGAGAAAAAAGCCAGAGCGCGTGGTTTTGATAAGCTATACTATTTACTGCACAATACACCAACTCTTCCCTAGACGAATTCTCCGAGGCCGTACTCATTTATTACCTCTCCACTTTCGTTGGGCCTGATTACAATACACAAACAGTAACCTTTTCCTTTCTGTTGGGCCTGATTACAATACACAAATAATATCTCTCCACCTCCTCCTTCTGTGGAGCATAATTGCAATACACAAACAGTATTTGTCCCCTGTTCGAGGGGCCTAATAAAGCACAATACATCAGATTTCTCTTTTCTGTTGAGCTTAATTACAATGCACAAGTCCCTTTCCCCATTCCTCTAGAACCGAATTACAGCACAATACAGTGCCCTTGCTCTTTTTGTGAAGACTAATTACAACACAATATCTCTGCCCTTTCTGTGGAGACTAATTACAACACAATACCTCTGCCCTTTCTGTGGAGACTAATTACAATAAATACCTCTGCCCTTTCCGTGGGGCCTAAATGCAGTTCTCAAACAGTACCTCTTTCCTCCTTGATACCAAATCTAATTACAGTAAACAAACCTCACCTCTCCCCTTTCTGTGGGTCTTGATTAACGATTAAGAACTTTTTTTCAAAATTATTGTGCACAACTTTCTAAATTATGAAAAAAAACTTTGTGATATATTAAAGCAAGTTAAAGTGAAGAATGTTTATTTATGTAGCAAAGTATCAGTATCACTGCATACGCAGTATATGTCTCGAGTTGATTTGATGCGCAAGAGCATGTTCTATGTACGAACAATTTCTAAAATGAAGCATGTTTTTACAAATAAGTTGATGATACAAGGATATCATCAACCACATTTAAAGTCAACATTCCTCAAATTCTATGGTCGATACAATGATCGTGTTTGTAAATACAATCTGTCGTTACATATAGGTCAAATGTTGACTGACGTCTTTCATACAAGATGTTAGTATTTACATACTGAATCGTCTACATTTTCCTTTTACCCGATCATGACAAGGAGTACACGGTTGGTGTGACCGGTCGGCATGGGATGATCACTTCTAGGAGGCACCTGATCCCACTTCTGATGATTTGGAGGTCCTTCTTTTGCTTTGCTCCATATTTGTATTGTCTAAATGGACTTTGAACTTGAATACTGTTCGTTATCTCCATATTTCATTGATTATGTTTAAAGGCAACGTATATTTATTACAGGTAAGGTTTTATCCCCTTCTATTCAACATATCCGGCCACATTTTGTACAATATATTGTTAAAGTATATGGCATAACTGTTTTTGATTATTACATTAGTTCCATAAAACTTGCTAAAATTATGAAGATTTTTTTACAAGGAGCTTGTAGACATGCATTGCCTGCAAATACACAAAAATGAAACACGTGAAGATAACGTTTTATTTTACAACATCACATTTTATTCTATAAAATACATCAAAAAAAAGAGGATAAAACTGACCAAAAACACGCTTAAAACAAGACTAATTACTACTAAGCTTTTACAACGTTTTTTATAGTTTATACAATAAAAAACTAAAATATAAAAGTTTGCATATTTAAATTTTTTCGAACTATATTTTTTTACCTGTAGCACTAATTTTGTTCATAAAATTAAAAACAAACTAACAGTATCTAGTTTTCATCCCTTCATCCACATGATTAGACATCTATATAAACATACCTGCTACCTTTAATCTTCATATTTTTATTTCCTAGACGGAAGACAAGTAGTTTTCAATCTTAATATAAAATATAAGCACATACAGCTCATATATATCAACATATATCAACATACACTGTTGAGTAGCTGATGAATACATACATATAGCTTAAATACAGCAGTATACACTGCTAAATACAATGATGAGTACATCTGTAGACCAGTTGGTAAGTAAAACACAACATTTACCTGAATCAAATTTAAGCATTTAGCGAAGTCTCTTCTACCTAACAATTATCAAATTCGTGCTGTATTCAGTATTATGGCACACAGCTGCTCAAAACAAGTGCACTTTATCTCACAAAACTAAAGATCTTGGCCATGTTCGGATTGAAAAGATGACAATGTCAAAATGTCAATATCAAATAATTTTTTAAAATATATATTTTTGAAGTGGAATTTGATAAAATGCAAATCATCTAAATACACAAATAGAAATAATGGCCATGAAGATATTCTATTCGTTCTAAAATGATTCTTCTAAATCATGAAAAGTTGTTTTAACAGATTGGCTATTGAAAATTTCAAACTTCCTTACATGCACAGACCTTTCGATTAAAATGTACGTTACTATAAAAGCACTGACAATGCATATGACACAAACACAAACATTACATGTTTTATTCAGATACTAATCCTACTGATCCTAATGTCTTTATAATGAACCAATTTTTTATCCATGACTTCAATCTTTAAATCTTATATCAACACCTTTTATTTAAAAGGACATCTTTATTGCAAAAAAACATTCTCAAGTCATCGTATCAAATTATGTTTCAAATCAAATTCATTGTTACGAACTGTAAACCCATTTATCACCATAAACTTTTTAAACAAAATTAACGAAATACATCGTCTCCAATTGACTTGAACAAATTCTTAAACATACAATGTACTTCTATCTTCCCAAATGCTTCATAATACAAGTATTTCCGGATAAAATCACATAGCGATTGGAGGCGCAGAATACTAGATAATTTTGACCTTGACCTTCATTCTGTTGTTACCAATAATTCACACCTGGAATGACTGATGTCCACGATACAAGTGGTAGGTATTTTGTTGATTTATGGGAAAATGGCCGCTAAAGCCACCATGGCAGCTGGGAATAGAACCCAGAGGACTGGGGCAGCTGAGATTCCACCACCTACAAGAAAGCACCTTGTGAAATAACTAGACAATACTAAAGAAATAGATATCATTTTTAGAGTTTCATTGAGATATGAAATGAAGTTGGTCACGTGTTCAAATCCTATATCGCCTGAAAGGAATATTTTATTCCTTATATCTATAATTTATTTTTATTTGTGTTATAAAGAAAAAAATGCACTATTTAGAAATGCTGTTATGGAAATGCAACATGTGAGGTACATACATGTACGACTTAATTTGACGTCACAGTCTAGACCTTCAAAATGTCTCGTGTGGTTTGCTTTCCGTAAGAAAGTCTGATCACGTGACCAACTTCATGTCAACGAAAATTGAATACCAATTTCATTAGTATTCTCATATAAAGAAAGACATTGGCAATTGTAAATAGTCAATTGTCTTACAATATAAGTATAAAGGTTCATCTAATCTCTCTCTCTCTCTCTCTCTCTCTCTCTCTCTCTCTCTCTCTCTAAAGAATAATTTTAGACCTACCAGTAGCACATACGATTCCACCTTCACGACTTGATTTTAGGAATAAAACCTTTCTAGCAGTTTCTGCAGCAAAGTTCATCGCTTCTTCGTTATCACATACAGATACCGCCTTCTTAGCACACATAGCATAATCTTCTATTCTCCTGAAATTGGAAACAATTATGTAAAACAGACTTAAAGTCAAAATCATTATTCATTTATTACACTTTACAAATCATTTTACATTTATTACACTTGCTATAATTACATGTAAGAAGAAGTGAGTTTCACATTGCAGTTACAAGCACCTTGGACAATTGTAATTTTGACTTTTAAAATGTTTGCATAATGACACCAGGCTGGAGAAGGGAGACGAATCAAAGACGTTTATTCAAAGTTTAAATACATGTACTAATCCGATATTACTCTGACTCTAAACCCCACTTTATGTTGTGAAATGTCGCAAAACTCTAAATATACTTATACATGACACTTACAAACACCCCTTCTATTGGATGTTTACTTCCACTCCTTCTAAACTACACTTACTATCACTCCTTCCATAGGACACTTACTTAAACTCCTTTTAAAGGACATTTACTACCACTCCTTCTATAGGACACTTACTAACACTCCTTCTATAGGACACTTTCTACATTCCTTCTATTGGACACTTACTAACACTCCTTCTATAGGACACTAACTAACACTCCTTCTATAGGACACTTACAAACACTCCTTCTATAGGACACTTAATAACATTCCTTCTATTGGACACTTACTAACACTACTTCTATAGGACACTTACTAACACTCCTTCTATAGGACACTGACAAACACTCCTTCTATAGGACACTTACTAACACTACTTCTATAGGACACTTACAAACACTCCTTCTTTAGGACACTTACTAACACTACTTCTATAGGACACTTACAAACACTCCTTCTTTAGGACACTTACTAACACTTCTTTTATAGGACACTTACAAACACTCCTTCTATAGGACACTTACTAACACTCCTTCTTTAGGACACTTACTAACACTCCTTCTTTAGGACACTTACTAACACTCCTTCTTTAGGACACTTACTAACACTCCTTCTTTAGGACACTTACTAACACTCCTTCTTTAGGACACTTACTAACACTCCTTCTTTAGGACACTTACTAACACTCCTTCTATAGGACACTTACTAACACTCCTTCTTTAGGACACTTACTAACACTTCTTTTATAGGACACTTACAAACACTCCTTCTTTAGGACACTTACTAACACTCCTTCTTTAGGACACTTACTAACACTTCTTCTATAGGACACATACTACTCCCTCTATAGGACACATACTACTCCCTCTATAGGACACATACTACTCCTTCTATAGGACACATACTACTTCTTCTATAGGACACTTCCTAACATTCCTTCTATAGGACACTTACTAACACTCCTTCTATAGGACACTTTCTACATTCCTTCTATTGGACACTTAATAACATTCCTTCTATAGGGCCCTTAATAACATTCCTTCTATAGGACACTTACTAACACTCCTTCTATAGGACACTTACTAATACTCCCTCAATAGGATACTTACTAACACTCCTTCTATAGGACACTTACTAATACTCCCTCAATAGGATACTTACTAACACTCCTTCTATAGGACACTTACTAACATTCCTTCTATAGGACACTTACTAACACTCCTTCTACAGGACACCTACTATCACTCCTTCTATATGACACTTACTAATACTCCCTCTTTAGGATACTTACTAACATTCCTTCTAAAGGACACTTACTAACAGTCTTTTAATAGGACAATTACTAGCACTCCTTCTATAGGACACTTAATAACATACCTTCTAAATGACACTCACTGACACTCCTTTTATGCCAGAATTCTCTGACAAGACTGTATCTTTACTGGTTTGTAGGTTTATCAAACATTCTGCGAATGTTGCATAAGCAATAATAGTCCCTACTGTCAAGTATAATCTGATTCCCTGTTAAATTTATAAAGGTCATAATTCCCTCAAAACTATCGAAGTAGACCGAAATGCAAACTTGATCTGTAATCATCAAGGAAGACTCAAACACCATAAATCAACTAAATATCTTTAAGTGTGCAGAAAAAAGTGCGGAAAATCAAGTGGGATAGACTGAACGACAGACTGAGGAACAGCTAGATAGAGAGATGGACAGGAAAGGAAGAAACCTATAGTCCCCTTCAGTTTCACCAGAGGGGACTAATTAAAAAGAGAAATCAGATAAAAACTGTAGAGGAGGCACCATTTTGAGAATAATTCACGTTATTTCCATTTCAAAATTTCCTATTTCGAAATCTGATACACACAGTTATGTATCTTAGAGTAGTTTACTTGTGTACTTTTGGCATCAAAAAACATTATGAATCTCAGCATAGTCTATTAGTATGCTAAGTCTAATTGAAAACAGACAAAAACTTAGGAGTAATGTTTTTAAATGCTCAGACATTTCTTTTTTAAGTAACCATGGCAACACCGATCAATGAAATCAAAAACCAATATAAAGAATTATGTAACTTTGCATACATAGTCTACTTGAGTACCAAGTCTAATCGAAATCGGACCGAAATTAGGAGGACAAGACTTTCAAAGAATTCTTTAAGAAAAGTCATACAAATTCACGGACAACAGACACCTTTCTAATGCATAATGTCTTCTAGTCTCTGAGACCGTTCACGGTAGCTCAGTCGGTAGAGCGCTCGCTCCGTGATCGGGAGGTCGTGAGTTCGAATCTCGGCCGCGACAGACCTAAGTCGATAAAAAAATAGGTACCAACTGTTCCTTCGCCATGCGCTCGGCACTTTGGAGTGAAAGTTGCGGGTCCTTCGGATGAGACCTTAAAAACCGAGGCCCCGTGTCACGGCAGGCGTTGGCACGATAAAGATTCCTTACTGCTCAATGGCCCTGAGTGCCGAGTAAAGGTCAAAATTTGAAGCCCTTCACCGGTATATGTTGACCTCTCTATATGAGTGAAAAATTCTCGAATGGGACGTAAAACAACATACAATCAATCTAGTCTCTGACCAGTAGAGCTAATGACACTTATTAACACTATTTATATAGGACACTTACTGCCAATCTTTTTATGGGAAACCTAATGATTCCTTTTCTACAGAAAACTTACTAGCACAACTTCTATAGAGCACTCAATGATACTCTTTCTATAGGACACTAATTGACACTCTCTCTAAATATGACATTTTCTGAAAATCCTATACATTTACTGATCTCCCTCTTTATGACACTTACTGACATTCCTTCCATAGGACTTACTGGTACTCCTCTTACAAGACATTAACAGACACTCATTTATAGGACATTTACTGACTTTCTTTCTCTATGACACCTAGTGACACACCGTCTTAATGACACTCTCCCTATGTGACTCTTACAAACTCTCCTATTTGACACTCCTTATAAAGGGCACTTATTGATACTCCTTCTATAGGACATTTACTGATATTCCCTCTATAGGACACTTTCTGACACTATACAACACTTACTACAGTCTCTCTATAGGACTCTTACTTACTCTATATGACACTTGCTGGAACCCTTCCAATTGACACTGACATGACACATACTACACTCTCTCTATATGAAACTTACTGGAACCCCTCCAATATGACACTAACTGACATATTTACTATATGAAACTTACTGATACTCCTTCCATATGACACTTACTGACACTCTTCCTTCTCTGTTTCCTTGTCCATGTTGGAATCACTCATAGATGGAGATAAATACTTGTTACACTTGGCATTAACAGTTGCATTCTTGAGACACATCATGTGGGTTTCTAATCCTACATTTGTACCAAAACAGTTTTTTTTACAAAATACTAATAGATTTCTTTCAGCTAGTCAAGTAAATCCTTTAACTGAATAATCACTGTTGTTGTAAAAATAAGGAAATGATTCAAAATGCAAATGTCTTAGCCAACAATTAATTTAAAAGACATGTAGTGTAGAAAAATAAGGGGGGGGGGGGATTCATGATTATTAATTTGAAATGATTACTTTTGTATGTATAAATTCATTTCCTTTCATAGGAGTTTCACTTTACATCATTGAATATTGCAATATGATGTCATCAAACACAAGAAAAAAAATGTTTTTTAACTAGTATTTTGATTATAAATACCATGTACACAAACTGCAATCTTTTTTTAATGTAGAATTTTGACAATTTTTTCACAATAAAAATAAGACCTTTTTGTGGTCAACCTTTTCTTTTTTTATAAACCAGAGTGTAATGCACATTTTAATAATGACTGATACCATGCAAAATAAAAATGCAAAACTTTAGCCTACAAATGGAATTGAATTATGTTTCTTAAACAAATTCAACAAAAGAGATTGCAGAATCAATCCTGATTTACCTTTCTTCAGATTGGTGTCCTCACAAAAGCTTCTGTATCCTTTTGTCAAACTTGCCAATGCTTTAAGATTTGGACATTTTGATTTAGTTTCCAAACACGGAATTGCAGCCTTCATAGCACTAAATTTTAAAAAAAAAATCATTTAATCAATAATGCATAGCTATCTGCATTTTTTTTCAAAGTAACTTTGATAAATATTTTTAGTAAGAGGTAAAATATCTCACGTGCATCCCATGTTGTATTTTGATTTACTTGGAAAGCCATTCGGAAAAGAAAAGTCAATATTGCACTCATCAATGTTACAACCTATAAAATAAAAAGACCCATCAAATTTAGGAAAATGTGAATTGCAAATTATTTTAAATTTTCAAAATAAATATCAGCATCTTGCTACAACTAGAAGTGTTACAAATTACATTTGAAGATTTTCATACTTCTTGCAAGAATTTGGAGTTACTGAAATATACATTTTAATTACTATAGTGTACTGTTAATGAATTCACAATGGCAAAATCATACTCTTTTTTTAAGTAATAACAAATTAAACAGATACAAAAGAATGACAGTTTACGTATCAATCTATATTTATGAAGCACACTCACAATTTCATTCTTAATTTCCAAGTTTTCATGTTTTTATTTTTAATCTTAGCTCTTTTTACCCTATTAATGAATAAATTGCAAAAGAACAAAATTGTGCTACCAAAAACAAGAGGTCCAAGGGCCACATCGGCCACCTGAGCACATTGGCTAGGAAAAAGCAGGAATCAGCTTAGTATTGAAAAGATACATGTAAAATATATAAGTGATTGCAAACAACAACCCCCATCCCCACCCAGAGGGGGAGAAGAGGCATAATTTGTTCACTGTGACTGAAACCCACAATTACTGAGAATGCTTCGATATTTCTTTGACTAATCATAGCTTTAGAAGATTTTTAATTATTTCTTTTTCTATACGTTTGATTTTCTATTGTGATCCCATCATAACCCTTGGAAACACGTTTTCAACAAATCTGAATCTACACTACCTGAGGATGCCTCTGAATTAATATGACTAATCATGGGTTTGCTGTTCTTGAGATTTTTAATGATTTTTCCTATGTATTTCTTTGTATAACTTTGATCCTCTGTTATTGGCCCCTCTCTACTCCTTGGGTGTCATGATTTAAACAAATTTAAGTCTACATTACCTGAGGATACTTCTGTATTAATATGACTAATAATACCTTTGTTGTTCTTGAGAAATTTTTTTATTGATTTTTCTTATACATTTCTGTGTAAAACTGTGATCACCCATTGTGGTCCAACGTTTCCCTGGGGTTCATTATTTGAACTAACTTGAATCTCCACTACCTAAGAATACCTCTGAATTAATATGACTTATTACAAATTTGTTGTTCTTGAGAAGAAGATTTTTTAATATATTTCAGACCAAAAACAGTCATGGACTAGAAATTTTCAAATTCTTTCGGCCATTTTTTGTAAAAATAAGTCACTATATACAAAACATATTTGATATGTAAGCCATCAATATAAAGAGACAAACAAAATATCATTAACATAAAAATATGGAAAAATAGTGAAAGTAATTTTCGAAGTCAATGAGCCATAACTTTCATAAAAATGGGTCAATCAACATGAGACTCAAACTTGATCTCAAACACCTCAATTAAAAATACCAGACAATCCACTCTCTCTAAGTAAGTGATAACCAAAGGTACAAATGGAATACATTTTAAATGCTGAAAAACACTGAATATTCACTAATGATGTTAACATACAATGTTTACAGATCCACGGTTGTGACGTCATGTTGGTTTCTGCGTGAATTTGATGAAGTCAAATATTGTCACAGTGGATTTATACACATGTGTATATAATACTGTGTGAAACATGAAATAGCCATGTGTAAAAAGAATCTCCGATGGTTTGTGGTCATGGTGGTTAGATATGTTTTTTTTTTTTTATCCAAATCATGTGTTTTTATCCCCTTGTCAAGGCTCAGGTATAAAAAAAAATGGAATGGCTCTTAACAATATACATGTGAAAAGAATACTGTAAACCAACTTTTATTTGTGACAACTTTTATTTAGAATTCATCAGTATGAAATCCATCTGCGACAATTATTTTTTGCCAATGAGGAAACACTGTACAAAAATACTTTAAAAAATTAATGGTTTACAACTAGAAATATTCCTGAGTAAACGAAGGTTGCAAAACTCCTATCTCCATTCAAGAGTTGTCATTCGTTCCTCTCTCATTCGTTCCTCTCTGTCATAGCTTAGCAGTCGTGAGAATGAAAACAATGTAACACGGTTTTTAGCAACATATTTAGGAAGAAATTAGCAGTTCTAGTCTCTATCAAGATGGTTTAGTTACTATTTTATGACAGGCCAGAAATTATTTTTTACTCACTTTGATATCCTTTCACACTCTGATAGAATATCACTTTGTTATCCTTTCACATAGTGACACATAGGCACTTTTATTCAATAAATAAATCACATTTTCACTGTTGAAAATGTAATAAATATTTATATTTTATATTTATAGTCATATTTATATTTATATATTCCTATATAAAATTTTGATTGCCCATTTCGGCCCCATCTTACCCCCGGGGTCATGATTTGGACAAACTTGAATCTACACTATGTCAGGAAGCTTTCACCTGTTTCATCTTTTCTAGCCTAGTGGTCCATGAGAAGAAAATTTTTAAATGACCCAACCCAATTTTTACTTTTTCTTATCTCCCCTTCGAAGAAGGTGTAGCCCTTCATTTGAACAAATGAATCAAACTTGAATTCCCTTTACATAAGGATACTCTGTACCAAGTTTGGTTGAAATTGGCCCAGTGGTTTTGGAGATGAAGATGAAATTGTAATGACAACACTTACAGACAAACTTTGATCAGAAAAGCTTTGGATACTTACACCTTTGGCTCAGTTGAGCTAAAAATGTATGTTTTAACTGTCTATACACGTCATGCAGTTTTCTTAATATTATTTGAATGCTCAAGTTAACTGTTACCTGGAGAGCCGCACAATTTTTCCACAGGCTGGAGGAAACCTTGAATCTTAGAGTAAAGTGTGTTTCCCTCACACATTTTGCCTTGGCTGTCTAAACAGGGCTTCACAGCCAAATAAACCTCACTGAAAGGAATTAGATACATTCAGTTCTGTTACATTTCAAAAAAAAATCATTACTGATTCAGAATTAATAACACAACTGTATTATCAAAATAAAATCCTTTCATTTTTGTCAAATTGTAGAGGACATAGTTGTGTTTGTGTGTGTGGGTGGGTGGGTGTGAGGTTGTGTGTGTGTGTGTGTGGTTTAAAGTAGCTCTTGTGGTGGGAAAACGTAAAAGCACAATTAGTATCAATCAATTAAAGCAGAAGAATGAGAGCGCATTTGATTTGGATTCGGCAGGAATGAAGAGTTCATTGATCTATCACAGATATTTTAGCATCTATTGATGATTTGTTTCTGTAATAAAGGAAAAAATTCCTTTCACAATATTGTGTTTTGATATGCTAAAATATGCATTGAAAAATAGCTAGATGAGTCATAGGTACAAAATGCTACATTTTTAAC